ACCTTGCTGCCTGATACACAGTAGGAGCTTAATAAATGGTACTTTTTTGTTGTTCGTGTTTATGGAGCAAATATAGGTAGTTGCTCTGCATAAAAATAAAGAAGTTGTTAATGGAGTGAGCCTTAAATGTGTGGAGATTTTCTGCCTGGACTATCTCCAAGACTCATTCTTGAGCTGAGCAACTCTAAACCCTTCCGCTGGAAGTCACCTGTCTCTCTAGCCTATCTTGTGCTCAAAGTCCTCTGCCCTTCTCTGAGTAGGTCACATTTATGGTCACATTTGATAAGCAGACACTAAGCCTAGCCCTGACGGAATGGCACATTGTTGCAAAAACAGAGGAACAGAAGACACTATTGCAATCTGCTCTGCTCTGAGAGATACTGGAGAACCTGTGGCCCCCTCATTCCCTTCGTTTGTGTATTTGAGGCTGAGGGCCTAGGTTCTTGGGCCTCCTTTGTTGTTGTTGTTGTGAAGTGCCGACTCACTCCGAGGAGACTCTTAGAGCAAGGATGGGCAACATCTGGCCCAATGGGCTGTATAAGACCCTGAAATCATTTGGTCTGGCCCTACCAAAGCAACCACAATTCCAGTCATCCTGTTGTTGTTGTTAAGTGCCTTTGAGCCATCACATTGTGTTGTTATGTTATGGCACCGACTCATAGCAACTCTATGCACAACAGAAGGAAACACTGCCTGGTCCTGGGTCAACTTCACAATTATTGTCACATTTGAGCCCAGTGATGCTGCCACTTTGCCAATCCATCTCACTGGAGATCTTCCCCTTTTTCTCTGACCCTCTACCTTACCGAACATGGTATCCTTCTTCTCCAGTGACTGGTCCCTCCTGACAACATGTCCAAAGTACGAGCCGTGAAGTCTGGCCATCCTGAACTAAGGCTATACTTCTTCCAACATACATTGTAGTTGTTGTTGTTAAGTGCCATTGAGTCGATTCTGACCCATCGCAACCCTGTAAAGGGCTTCTGAGGAGCAGCTGGTGAACTGGAACAGCCGACCTTGCAGGCCAAACAGCTCTACAGTCTGGCACATTAGCCTACAGCACCACAACAAGACTCCCTCCAATGCACATTCGTAGTTGTTGTTGTGATGTGCTGTCAAGTCGGTTCCAACCCCTAGCGACCCTGTATAGGGTTTCCGAGGAGCAGCTGGTGAGCTTGAACTGCTGACCTTGCATTTCAAATGGCTTTGCAGTCTGGCACCAACACAAATTGTTGTTGTTGTTACCTGCATCAAGTCAGTACCCACTCATAGCGATCTTACACATAACAGAACGAAACACTGCCTGGTCCTGGGCCAACTTCACAATTGTTGTCATGCTTGAGCCCATTGATGCTGCCATGAGAGATGAAGTTTGGCCATTGTGGCCTCCAAGGTGCATTCTGGCTGCACTTCTTCCCAAACGGATCTATTGGTTCTTTTGGCAGCCCATGGCACTTTCAATATACTTCTCCAGCACCATAATTCAAAAGCATCAATTCTTCTACGGTCTTCCTTATTCACTGTCCAGCTTTCGCATGTATATTATTGTTGCTGTTAAGTGCCATCAAGTCGGTTCCGACCCATAGCGCCCCTGAACAGGGTTTCCGAGGCTGTAAATCTTTCCAGGAGCAGAAAGCCTCATCTTTCTCTTGCGGAGCATCTGGTAGTTTTGAACTGCTGACCTTGTATTTGCAGCCCAATTCGTAACCACTAAGCATGCATATTAGGGGTGAGTTAATTAAATGTTTGAACAAATATAGAAGGCTAATTTTTAATTTGATAATTTTGTATGGCCGGCAATGACGTTATAAATTTTGGCAGAAAAAAGAAGGATCCCTGCCGGTCCTAAAGTAATGGGGATAATATTAGGATTGGTTAGAGAGATGCCCTTGCTTTTATTTTCCTTTTAAAGCGACAACACCCGATTAAACGCTATCTCAGAGTTGGTTTCTGAGCTGGTTATCAGAGGTATATGGAGGAAGTTGAAGCATACATGTTTTTGAGAGGCTCACTGGTAAGGGTGGTGAGAGTAGAGAAAAGCTACCAACTCTGTGGATGCATGAGAGGGAAAGAGGCATGTGGGTATTGTTTAAAGCAAAGATGGAGGCTAAGCAAATGAACTAACATGAAGCAAAGACACAGAGACAAAAATAACAAATTGTTGAAAATCCAAAACCAAAACCCCCCTGGCAGTTCTTGGGTGTGGCTGTAACCCGAGATACCCGTCTGGGGTGGGCAGCAGTAGGGAGAGCAGCCATGGAGGCGTTCTGTGAGGTGGAGGCCTAACTTTCAGTTGTGGGATATAGGTTTAGCATCAGGGGAAAAAATCACCAAAGAGCAGTGTCAAATTTAGGAGATTCCTGGATTTAGATAAGGTCAGACTGATTTTGTCTGTGCTCGACATTTTCTTTTTCTTTTAGCAATTATTTGTCAATTGCCTATTAGATGCCAGGAGCTCTTGTGGGCAGGGCGAAACAGTGATGAAGATACAAACGAAGTCTTCTCTGAAAGTATCTTCCACTCGTAACAAAAAGGAAATTGATGGTCAGCCTGGTTCCGGCCTGGGCTTCCGAGGTTGTGGGAGGGCAGAGTTGTTCTGGGCAGTAGCTCACACGTCTCCACAAACCCTGTGTGTCCGCCAGTCCATCATCGAGGTGCGCGCGCCGCCCGGGCCGATCCACTGCCCCGCCCGGCTCGGCGTCCGCCCCCTGCCCAACCTACACGTGGGTTCCTGCACGTCCGCCCGGTTCCCCACCTGACGTCAGCCTCGTGGTGCCATTTAAGGCCCCTCCCGTTCCCAGCTCAGAGTCTCGGAGCTGTTGCTGCGGAACCCGGATTTTGCCGCTGCTCTCTGCTGCCGCTCGCCTGCCCGACGTGCAACTCCCGGTATGGTTGGGTACGGTCGGGCCCGGCGCACACTGCGCCTTAAGGGCGGGAGAGCGAGCCGCTTGGTCTCCGCTTAGGCGCCGCCGCCCTAGAAGGAGTCCTTGATCCTGGGGTGTGTGGGTACCACTTCCCAGACACTGGATTCAATGAGCTGGGCGGTGGTGCACGCCAGGCGTGGGCTCCGAGCTCGCCGCGCTCGGCTCTTGCCCAAAGTGGGGACCCGGGTGTCTGGCCGGGCTGGAGAGCCGAGAAGGTGGCTGCACCAACTTCGGGTTGCAGAGGCCTAAGAAGATGGCAGAACTCCTCCGAGAGTTCCAAAGGGTGGGGAATATGCAAACGGGCAGAACTCGAGGTCTAGTTCCGGAGCCCATGGAGTTGAAAAAGCTTCAGCATGGCCAGGGCGGGTTCCTGGAAGTCGGAAAATCGCTGACCTCCGCTCGGGTCCTATTTTCATCTAATACGTTCGAGTGGTGGGTTCTATTGGGTAGCTGTTGCCTGCAGATTATAGGGCACTTTTTGCACAAATGATACTTATTAGTAGGTGCTGATGTCTGGTGTGCTGTGTGCTTGGCGCGGTGCGTGCAACGATGGAGGTAGGGTTCCAGCCCAGTGGCACCTTGGATCGTCCGATACTGTGCGCTTTTTACAAACGGGGAAGGGACCTAATTACAATGAATGGGAGATAAAATTGGGGAGTAGAACCTCGTTCTAGACGCATTCCCCCCCCCCCCACTAGTCTGTACATTGAGCCGGAAGCCAGGGCTGAGGTTTTGGTGAAGCCAGGCGGCTTCTGCTGAAAGAACGCCTCCCTTCTCCGTGCCAGGCTGCAGAATCCTTACAGGGCTGTCTAGAAATAGCAAAGATTTGTAAGGAGAGACCCGATTCCAGCTTAGCGACTCTGGGCTGCCTGCCTGGAGGTTCTCTGGGATATTTTTGCCCTTTGAAACGGTGACAAGACTAGATGTAGTGCTTTTTGCCCACAACCTGTGACATTCCTTCTCGTGAACGCGGTAGAGTTGGGTTCGCAGAGTCGAAGGTCCTCTTCCTGGCTCTGAAAATATAGGGCTCCACCAAGTAGCTGTTAATTTTAAAACAAGGCCTTAGGGCCTCTGCCACTATTTCTGCATTTCCTGTGGTGACAAAATTTCCTCATTCTGGGCCTTACGACTTTGCAACAGGGATCACGGCAGAAGCCATATGAGGCGCCTCCCTTCGAATTGGTTAATAGACCACTGGTTCCTGGTATTGCGTTTTAAAGTCTGGCCGCGCTCCAGGGAGGCTTTCAGCAGGGCTTCACGTTGCTCGTGTCTGCTCTGGGTCACTGGTTAAGTCTAAAGTCTGACTACTGAAAGCAGGATAGTTCCTGGTTGCCTCCATTTGCAGGCGCGGCCCAGGGCGCACTTTGTAAATGCCAGCGGCTACCGACTGTGTTCCACCCCCACCCGCCAGCTCCCTGAAATGCGCATGCGCGCAGGTTTCCTCGCTGCTTTAAATCTTCCCTACTTTGGGCTGGGCTTAGAACCCGCCCAGGCTCCCGCAGACCAAGGCAATTGGTCTTATCTCCACCCCTACTTATGTTTTACTGGGCGCGGGAGGGGAGGAAATGAGCACGCAGGCGCAGAATTCATTCTAGGATATTTGATAGCCGTTATTGGCGTTTTCCGCGTTTACCTCTGGTTCTTATTCAAGGGCCTTGGTAGTGTATTTGCTATAAGGAGTCTTGGTAGCAGGGGTAGAAGTGGGAGCGCAGCTCATCATGATCTTCTGAGGATAGTCCTGCCCCACCTGGGGTTAATAAGTCAAGATGAGTAAACCTTCAGGAGGCTATACTTACTCCCAAACGTCTATATTATTTTTCCACGCCAAGGTGAGATTCATCATGCTAAGATCCTGACCAGATCAGATCCTACAATTAAACTTTTTAACATTACTTTGGCCATCGTTAGGTTTTTTCTTCCTTCTTAAATCAGCCCTTGTGATTTAGTGTCAAATGTTCCAGAAGGAAATAAAATAAACGTTTCCAGAATGGCTGTTAATAAAGCCTTAGAGAGGGTGCAGTGATAATACTCCATGTTTTCCCCCTTTTATAGATTCCTTCCTCTTCCAAAACCAGCATGGCAACTCTCAAGGATCAGCTGATTCAGACTCTAATTAAGGAAGAACAGACCCCCCAGAATAAGATTACAGTTGTTGGGGTTGGTGCTGTTGGCATGGCCTGTGCCATCAGCATCCTAATGAAGGTAAGTGAGAGCCCATCACTCTGGAAGCCAAAGATTGCTTGATTACTCTCCCCTGCATGTTCCACCACCAAGAATTGAATCACATTGTATGAAAACACTTAGATCCTGTACTTGCTCCAAAACTTCTGTGAAATCTAAGTTTTGAAACATGATGTGCTAAAAGGTAATCTGAACTAAAGAGGTTGTTTATCTAGAATCCCAGTTCCTTGAATATGCTGTGCTGTATTAATATGTCTACAAATGAAAAGCCAGTGTCTTTAAAGGATCTAAAATTCTTTTGGTAATTTTTGAATTGAAAATGATTGCCCACAGTATGTTATGTTCTTGTTAAGTCTTGTCAAGTCGGTTCTGACTCATTGCAACCTTATGTAGAGCTTCTGAGGCGTGGCGGGTGGGTTTGAACTACTGACTGTGTGATTTACAGTCAAGTGCTTATCCCATAGTGCTACACACAGTATAGAACAAGTAAAATTATTCCAAATGTGGGAAATCCCACTCCACAGCCTTGGGTAGCAATTTTTTTAAACCAATTTTGAAACTAAAATGTAACTAGAAAAGCAGAGCTTGTGAGTGAAGAACACCTTATATAGTATTCACACCTGAAAATCAGGCAGTTAGTCCTGGTGTGGAGCTGTAGGATAAGCACTCGACCACAAGGTCTGTTTGAACCATAAGCTTGGTGGTTCAAACTCACCAGCTACTCCTCAGAAACTCTATACTGGGTTGCTTATGGGTTGGAACCGACTCAACAGCACCTGACAACAACAAATACAATATTACATCATTTTAAAATTCACATTTGGAGTTCCTAATAATGGCAGTGATTGTGAGGCTGATGCGGGACTGGGAAGTGTTACACTTAGGGTTGCTGTGAATTGGAATGGGCACCTAGCAACCATAAGAGTGAATTACTGTATTCTGGATCTGAACAGATAGGGATTGAAGTGAGCAGGACATAAAGGCAGAAATTAACTATATGGAAGTTTTGTAACAACACACGTTATTCTGTGTTCTTAAAAGTCACATATTACAACTCTTACTGCCCACTGGATCATAAATGGAAGGCATCTGTTTTCCTTTTAAAGTACTTCTCCCCAAACCTATGAATTGCTTGGCTGGTCTTCTGCAATGGCTCAGGTGTGAGTAGGAAGACTAACTACCAGACTACTCGTATTCCAAATGATTTGGGATCAGCAGTGCAGCCAGTATTATCTTTTTGTGATGACAGTCCACATCTCATTTATATCGAAGCTCTTGTTGGTGTACCTGGTCTGAGATATAAGGGTAAGTCAAAAAGTATTGCTACTAGGGTTCTAGTTCAACTGGTCTAAACAGAGAAGCATATGGCTGCAGACAATTTCTCTTAATAATATAGTCTTGTTAGGGGCCTTCTAAAAAAGAATACTTTTTGTGCCGTGGGAAAATATGATTTTGAAGTTAGGATAAGATTTTGAAGAACTCAAGTGGACATCTTCCCAAATCAGTGAAGCTTTGCAACAAGACTGCAGGACTGCTGCTCCACATAAAACAATAGCTTTTAGATGATCAAGCATCTTCAGCAAGTTTGGGAAGAGCTAAAGGATGAGCCAAGAGGGAAGACTATCAGCCTTGATACTGAAGAAGCTGGCTGAAGTTCAGGAACTCGTAAAAGAAGACTGCAGAAGTATCATTGAAGTGATAGCTGCTGTACTGGGCATCTCACATGGCTCGACATTTTTAATTTAAGTGAGCATCTTGACCTCAGCAAGCTTTTGGTTCTATGCATGCCGAAAGTGTGGTTCAAAGATCAGCTAGCTCCAAGAGCTACTTACATCTTGTAAGCAAGATTGAGGTCAGCAAAGACGATTTTATGAAACAAATCATAGCTAGGTTTACAATTACAAGCCAGAGAGCATGGTCCAGTCAAAGCAGTGGCTTTTGAGGTGCTCTGTTATGCCAGTTAAGACAAGAGAGGTCAGCATAGAAGGTTAGGTGACTCTTATGAGGACCCACAAAGGGGAATTTTGATAGATCTTATCAAAGGACATAGGATAATCGTGAGGGCTTATTGGGAAGAAGTTTTAAGAAAATTGTAAACTGCACTGGTGAGAAAAAAGACTAGGAAAGTGTTCTGAGGAATTTTTTTCCATTATGACAGTGTTCAGTCTTTGAGGATAGCAAGGGCTGTGTCGTGAGAATTTCATTGGGAAACCGTATCCTACACACCTTCCAGCCCTTCATACTTCTTTTTGTTCTCAAAACAAGAAGAATGTTTCAAAGGAACACAACTGGAGCCTCTCGGGGTGCCAAAACTCCCGTTTTGACATGGTGTAACTTGAAGAGCCATCACTTATCTGTCCGTTTGTCTAACTGGTGGCTTGAGTGTTGCTGTGATGCTGAAAGCTATTACCACCAGTAACTTCAATACCAGTAGGAGTACCTATGGTGAACAGGTTTCAACAGAGCTTCCTCTTTAAGACTAGAAACGAGAGGCAGACCACTATGTAAAGGCTTAACCATTGAAAACCTTATGAATAGCAGCAGAAGTGTTGAATATAGAGCTGGAAGGTGAGTCTCTCAGATTGGAGGGCACTCAAATTATGACTTGGAGGAGCTGTCTCCTCCAAGTAGAGTTGGCCGTAATGACGTGAATGGAGCAAAACGTTTGGAACCTTCACTTGCTGATGAGGCACAACTCAAAATGAGGACACATAGCTGCAAACATCCATTAATAATAGTAACGAACTGTAAGTCATATGAATCTATGAGAGTTGCAGATTTCAAAAATGAACACAGTCTGTAAAGATTTGTACCCTCAGGCATCAGTGAGCCTAAAATTGTCCATTTTAAATCAGACAGTAATATGGTTTACTTTGCCAGGAACTTCAAATTGAAGAGGAATGGCATGGTGTTCATCATCAAAAAGAACAATTAATTAAAGATCTATCTTAAAGTACAATACTGTCGTTTTTGTTAAGTGCCTTTGAGTCGATTCCAACTCATAGTGACCCTGTAACCCTATACACTGGTCACTGATGAGCTTGAACTGCTGTCCTTGCAGTTCAAACTGACTTTACAGTCCAGCTCATTAGCTCACAGTACCACATCATATTGAATGATGCAGAAAGCATTAAAAAAAAAGATGGAGAGAAAACAAAAAGTCACTGTACCTAAAAGAAATGTAGCACATGATCAAGAACCGATGGTATAGAAGGAAGAAGTCCAAGTTACATCGGCGGCATTGGCAACAAACAAGGCGACAGACAAGGGATTAGTGAAATACAAATTGTGAAATCTCTCAAGAAATTGATGCAACAGTAGAGGTGTTCACTTATCTGTGTCAAGAAATCTGGAAGATGGCTACTTGGCAACCGATTGGAAAATAAACCATATTTGTGCCCATTCCAAAGAAAAGTGACCCAGTGAAATGCAGAAATCATTGAGCAATAATATTAATATCAAATGCAAGTAAAATTTTGCTAAAGATAATTGAAAAATAATAGCAGTACATTGACAGGAATTGCCAAAAATTCAAGCTAGATTCAGAAAAAGTTATAGAATGAGGGGATATCATTGCTGATGTCAGATAGAACTTAGTTGAAAGCAGTGAATGCCAGAAAGATATTTACTTGTGCTTTATTGACTATGCAGAGGCTGTGGATCATGCATGACAAACTTAGGAATGACAATGCAAAGAATGGATATTCCAAAACACTTGATTATGCACATAAAGAATCAAAAAGCAGTTGTTCAGACAAAACAAGGGCATACTGAATGGTTTAAAATCAGGAAAGGTATGCATTAGGTTTGTATCCTTTCACCATACTTACTAAATCTGTATGCTGAGCATATAATAAGACTTCATTTTCCTTGGCTCCACTGCCAACACTCAAGGAAGCAGCAGTCAAAGGATGTGTATATTGCATTAGGAAAATTGGCTGTACAAGACCTCTTTAAAGTGTTCAAGATAAAAGATAAGGGTTCAAGAACAAAGTTGGAAGACCTAAAGTGTGCCTGACCCAAGCCATGGTGTATTTTAATAGCCTCATATGCTTGTAAAAGTTGGACACTTAATAAGAAAGACCAGAGAACAATCAATGCATTTGAATTACAGTATTGGAGAAGAATCTAAAAGTACCATGGACTGCCAGAAGAACAAACAAATCTGTCTTGGAAGAAGTACAGCCAGAATGCTCCTTAGAAGTAAGGATGGCAAGACTTTGTCTCTCATACGTTGAACATGTTATTAGGAAGGATCAATCAGTCCCTGGAGAAGGAAGGACAGCATGCTTGGTAAAGTTGGGGGTTCAGTGAAAAAGATGAAGTCCCCCCCCCAGTGAGATGGATTCACACAGTGGCAGAAACAATGGGCTCAAATATAATAGCAATTGTAAGGAAGGTATAGGGCATGGCAATGTTTCTGTTGTGCATATAGGTTCTCTGAATTGGAATCAACTTGACAGAATCTAACAACAACAAATTGGAGACCATAGGATGTATCACCTCCTTAATGAATGTTGTTAAGTGCTGTCATGTTGGTTTTGACTCACAGTAACCCATAGGGTTTCAGAGGAGCAGCTGGTGGGTTGGAACTGTCAACCTTGCAGTTTGCAGTCCAGTGCTTATGTTACAGAGTTACACTAGGAGTAGCTTTCATGAATAGCAACCCAAAATCCATGTATTAAAAACTGAGTTTGAAAAAGTAAATGGAACAATTGAACATAACTTGAAGTTATTCTAACAAGTGTCTATTTGGCGTTCTGCTTCTACAGCAGAGGTTCCAGTGGAGAGAGGGTTGCTGCTTCCTACATGTGGGGCATCTTTGAGTCCAGTGTTCAAATAGTGCGTTGCCTCTACTTTCTTTGATGTATATCCTGGTGATAATAAAACTGCAGAACTCTCCTATGGCAGCTATGTAGAAATTTTACATTGCCTCCTATAAATGTGAAAATAGCAATTCCTCATTGAACTAAAAATTGTATTTTTTAGGACTTGGCAGATGAACTTGCTCTTGTTGATGTCATGGAAGACAAACTGAAGGGCGAGATGATGGATCTTCAACATGGCAGCCTTTTCCTTCGAACACCAAAAATCGTCTCTGGCAAAGGTTACGCTTCTCAAGATTCTATCAGACTCTGCTAGACTTAATCCTTAATCAGACTTGAAATATACTAGTTCTTTAAAGATTGTTTTATACAGAAAGTTCTTGGGTTTGGTTTATAAACCATGGACTAACGTTACGTGAATTTGTTCCTGCTTTGAAATGAGTGAACCAGCTCCCACTCATATAACAGATTCTTTATTAAAGTCACCTTGACTTGTTGCAGGGAGGCATTTAAATCACTGAAAAGGTTTCAGCCTTTTCTTGCACTAAAGTAAGGCTAAATGACTATACACCTTTCTGACTTAACGACACATTTGGGAATGGATCTCATTTGTAACCCCAGGGTTGCCTATATAGGATAAGTGAACCTTGAAATAATTTGGTATTGAGTCCTATGATTGTCAAAGTTTCAGTATCTTACATTGTTGTTAAGTACCATGCAGTTGATTCCAACTCATAGTGACCCTGTGCAGAGTTTCCGAGGCTGCAAATCTTTATGGGAACAGAAAAACCTCATCTTTCTCTCGCAGAACAGCTGATAGTTTTGAACTGCCGACCTGGAGGTGGTTTTAAATGCAAACTAATTTGCCCATGATGTGGAAAGCACATGAATTATTTTGTAATTAGTAAATCTTTAAGCCTATTGTCTATTTAAACTACATTGCTTCAAATGCTTAAATATACTTAGACTTGACGACCTTTAACATACTGACTCAAGGTTGAGAATAGGGTCATTGAGTCTGTTGAGCAGGTATTCTTGACTTGAACCTTTGAAAAGTCAGGAAACCTGGAAGTATCACCAAATAGGTTCTTGGAGTTTTTCCCCTGCCCCAGACTTGTTGAGGAGACGTTAACAAGTTTGTGCGAAAATTCCATTATCTTTCAATTCCATTTTTCCAAGAACCTTTTGAAACCCTCTCACACAGAGTAACACAACAGTGTGGTGGCATTGATTTACATTGTTAAAGTTGTAGAACCATTCTTACTCTCCTTACCTGAATTTTTCCTTACTCGTTAATATAAACTCACTGCCCACTAAGGTTCTGATCTATCAAGTTTCTGTTGTCAATTCCATATAGGTCTTAACAGAGCATAATGTAAAGGCAGACTAGTTTTTACTTCTTATCATTGTTGGGTGCTGTTGAGTGGGTCCTAACTCAGAGGTTCTTTGCACAACAGAATGAAACACTGCATAATCCATGTCATCCTCATAATCGTTGCTGTGTTTGAGTCCATTACTGCTGCTCCCCTGCCAATCCACCTTGTTAGGGGCCTTCTTCTTTTTTGCTGACCCTCCACTTTATCTAACACGATGTTCTTCTCCAGAGACTAGTCCCTTCTGATAATAGATCTGAAATATGAGAGACGAACTCTATCCAGGATTCTAAGGAGCATTCTGGCTGTACTTCTTCCAGCACTGATTTGTTTAACAGTCCATGGTAGTTTTAAATATTCTTCTCCAACACCATAACTCAAATGCATCAGTTCTTCTGTGGTCTTCTTTGTTCACTGTCCTACTTTCACAGGCATATGAAAGTCTTGAAAATACCATTGGTTGGGTCAGGCACACCTTAGTCTTCAAATTTACATCTTTGCTCTTTAACAGTCTTTGTGACTTAAATCTTTTCTGCATTTATATGGATGTTATTTATAGGTCCAGTGGTGAGGATTTCTGTTTTCTTTACATTGAGGGGCAACCCATATTGAAGACTGTGGTCTTTGATCTTTATCAGCAAGTATTTTACATCTTCTTTCTTCGCCTTTAGCTACCAAGATTGTATCCTCTGCATATTGCAGATTGTTGATGAGTCCAATCCTGATGCCATTTCTTCTTCTTATAATCCAGCTTTTCACATTCTTTGCTCAATGTATAAATTAAATAAATGCAGTGAAAGAATACAACCCTGACATATACTTTTCCTAATTTTAAACCATTTAATGTCCCCTTGTTCTGTTCAAACGATTACCTCTTGGTCTATATTTCAGATCCCTCATGAGCTCAATCAAGTGTTCTGGAATACCCATTCTTTGCAGTGTTATCCATAACTTGTCATGATCCACACAGTTGAAAGACTTTGCATAGTCAAAGCACAGGAAAATTTAGCTTGAATTTGCATATGAGCAATTGATGGGGCTGATGATACAGAGCTTTTCCACTGTGTCTTTCCAGAGGAAGTCAGTTTGATTCCTGTGTGCTTCATCTGGTGAGGTCCATGTGTTGTGTTGTTTTAAGAGGGTGTTGGCAATGAGTAAGTCATTTATCTTGGAAAATTCTATCATGTGATCCTCCAGCATTGTTTCTACCACCATGGTTGTATTTTTTCATTTAGTGATCCTTCCTCTTTGTATTCTAATCACCAGTATCAGTTCTTCTTGATCGCATGTTTGATCAATTTCAGACCAAAGAAATTGGTTGTTAAGTGATGCTGAGTTGATTTTGACTTACAGAGAACCCTGTATAGGGTTTCCAAAAAGCAATTGGTGGGTTTGAACTACTGGCTTAGTGGTTCTAACTGACCTTTTGGTCCAGTTCTTTATATCATATAGCACCGCACCAGGATTCCTGAAGAAGTTAATAAAATTCTTCAATTTCATCATAGTGGTTGTTATGTAGATTTGAATAATAGTGGTATTAACTGGTCTTCTTGTAGCCATATAGATTTTATCCTATTACAAGACAGCATTATACTTCAAGATCTTCAAATGTTCTTTTTGATGATGAATGCAATGCCATTCCTCTTCCATTTGTCATTCCCGGCATAGTAAGCCATATGATGTGTTCTTCAAAATGACCAGTATCAGTCCATTTCAGCTCACTAATGCCTAGTATATCATTTTTATGTATTCCATTTCATTTTTGTCAACTTTCAATTTTCCTAGATTCATACTTTATATATTCCATGTTCCTATTATTAATGGATGTTTACAGCTGTTTCTCTTCATTTTGAATTGTGCCCCATCGGCAGATGAAGGTCCCGAAAGCTTTACTCCATTCGCATCTTCACAATCAATTCTGCTTTGAGGAGGCAGCTCTTTCCTAGTGGTATTTTGAGTGCCTTCCAACCTGAGGGGCTCATCTGCCAACAGAGTATCTGACAATATTCTTGTGCTGTTCATCATGTTTCAATATTCTGTATTCTGGTGTTGACAGTGTTCAACTGCTATTCATAAGGTTTTCAGTGGCTAAACATTTTGAAGTACTCTGCCTCTCCTTCTGCCTAGTCTGTCTAAGTCTGGAAGCTCAGCTGGAACTTGTCCCCCATGAGTGACCCTGCTGGTATTTAAAATGCTGGTGGCATAGCTTTCAGCATCACAGCAACATGAAGCCACCAGTACGACAGACTGACAGTTTTAACTTAAGTAGTCAATTTTAACTTAAGTTTGAAAACTGTTTAGTTTTAAGAAAACTGCATGGGACATTTTGGTTTAAAGATGATCTCAGGGCAGTAGTTTTGGGGTTCCCCCAGCCTCCATAGTGTAGGGGCTATTTTGATACTTGAAAATCATTCGCCTGATATTAGATAAGATTTCTAGATAATCAAGGTATCTAGAAACCAGACATGCTAAGTAGAAAGATTCCTCTGCTTTAATAAAGTAAACTAGCCTCTGCCTAATTATGATAGGACAATAGTTACATAGTTAAGTAGAAATCAGAGTCTGAAAGAGTATGAACATTGAGCTTAGCTAGCTAGCAATAAACAATTGGAACATACAGGAATTGAATTAAGATTCAAACTCGATTCCCTCCTGCTTGCTCCCAGTTGTAGCTACATACTGTCCCAGTGTGACATTCTCTTCCTCCAGTTTAGGGGCCACCTTGATAAAACTGCAAAAGACAGACGTGGGAAATACAGTGGGAATACTTAACCTGTTACAAAAAACAGAAAGCCCTGGTCAAATTATCTACAGAAGAAGCTTGTGGAATAAATTTTTGATAGTAAGTAAAGTTTGCTTCAAGGCCTTAATCTGGTCATGGTTTCTTATTTTCTAGACTATAATGTCACTGCAAATTCCAAGCTGGTTATTATCACTGCTGGAGCACGTCAGCAGGAAGGAGAAAGCCGTCTTAATTTGGTCCAGCGTA